CTCTACAATAAATCAAAAATCAGCCGGGCGTGGTAGCGCGTACCTGTAGTTCCAGCTACTCAGAAGGCTGAGGCGGAAGGATCGCCGGAGCCCGGCAGGTCGCAGCTACGGTGACCGGGAGCAGCGGCTGCGCTCCAGTCTGGGCGACAGAGTGAGACTCCAACTCAAAAAAAAAAAAAAAACCCAAACAAACGAAAGATACCCTTTGATGGGCAAAAGCTTCAAAACCCACCAACACCAAGTATTTACCAGGACAGGGTCATGAGCCACCCCGATAGCCGGGGAAGGCGAGGGGCTCTGACTCGTGGCAGAAGTCTGCGGAGTTTCTGAGCGTATTTGAGTCCAGAATCCACAGGCCCCTTGGTGCTCCTGGACGGAGCGTGGGGTGTGGACACTGTCCCCTCCAAGACGCCTGCAGGAGAGGGGACAGGGGGCTTGTTGCTTGGACTGCCCCCAAAACAGCCGACATGGACGCTTTTACAGCCTCGGAGGCCAGAGGTCTGAGTCCAGGTGCTGGCAGGACAGCTTCTCTGGCGAGCTGCGATCGCTAAGTGGGCAAATACCTGACACACCGCAAACACGACGTGCTCGTTGGGAGAATCAGAGCATACGTTCATACAGCCAAGAGACAAGGTCAGCGTTGGCAACCTTGGCCTCCCGGGCTCAGATGGCCCTCCCTCCTCGGCCTCCCAAGCAGCTGGGACTGTAGGCGCCACTCCACCTGGCCAATTGTCTTTAGTGTTGTGTAGAGGCAGGGTCTGGCTGTGTTGTCCGGCTGGTCTTGAACGCTTGGCCTCAAGGGAGCCGCCCATCTGAGCCTCCCCACGTCATCAGGGCTCGGGGGCATGGAGGCTCAGGGCCTCCCTGGCCGCCGCTGGGGGCCTGCACAGAGGGGGCGGCTTCCGGCCGTGCAGCCAGACGCCACCGCCCGCAAGCCGAGAGGCGCGGCCCGGGCCACCCACTCGTGAGGCCGCAGGTGCTGCTTCCTCCCGTGAGAAAGTCCCCTTCGCGTAGGGGAGGCCGGGGAGAGGAGGAGGGTGGCGTCCCTTCCCGGGAGACCGGCCGAGCCGCCCTGCCTCTCGCCCCGCCGGCCCCGGGCGCGGGGGGGCGAGTGGGTCTCAGACTCCCGACGGGAGTGTGGACTTGGGGCCGAGGAGCTGGGGACGCGGCTGCTCAGAGCTCAGTTTCCCCCTCTGCCAGGGAGGGAGAGACGCGGGGCCCCGGGGCCCGCCTCCCCCCGTCCTGGCCAGGACCCTGCCCCCGCGGCTCCAGAGGCACCAGGAGGGGGCCCTCTTCTCCCTCCACGGCCGCCTCAAAAACCAACCAGCTCTTTCCTGCCCCGGGCCTTGGCACGGGTCCCGTCTCTGCCCGAAACCCGCCTCACCCAGATGCCCCAGTTCCTCCCGCCCTCTTTCGGGCCTCAGCCCCCGCGCCACCTCTTCCAGGAAGCCCTCTGTGGCTGCCTGACGCCCCATGACAAAGTCACCGCTCTGGAGGCCTAGTGTCCTCCTTGCCCGCAGACCACAGGGCCCACGGGGCGGGGAGGGGTCTCAGCCATTTCTGGCTGTGTCCTGGGTCCTCGGCAGGCGCCTGGGAAGCAACTCTGATGATCACAGGACTGGCTGTGAGCACGTTGGTTGAGCCTCAACTGTGTCCAGGAGCTAGGGACACCCCCGAGAACAAAACACGGGTTTCTGCTGGCCAGGGAGGAAGAAAGGGCATGTGGGAGGGCGTGGTCTGCGTTGTGTGGGTGTGTCGACGTGCCCAGCGAGGTCTTGCATTTTTTGTGGAGATGGGGCCTCACCGTTTTGCCCAGGCTGGTCTGGCACGCCGGGCGCCCACCAGCCCCTGCCTCCGTCTCGCCAAGCGTGGGGTGACAGGTGTGAGCCGCCGCACCCCGCCTTGAGCGTGACATTTGACCTGACACCCGCAGGGGTGGGCAGACCCGGGCGCCTGGGGGAAGACGGGC